ATATATATATTTATTTATTTATTTATTTATGCCACCTTACATAAGCATGAAAGGGTTTATTTCACTTTTTAAAAATAAAACTTGTGGTATTTTTTATGCGTTAAGAGAGATTTGGGTGGTGTAAATGTAAATAGTAAAGCTTTGATGTTAGATACATAAAATATAGTAATTGGGTGGTATGTATGTACCCAAAAAAAAAAAAAAAAGTTACTTTCCTGACAAGTCTCTTATTTGGACTGTCTCACTCCACAGATATGAGCTTCCAGATTCACATCTTCTTCTTGAGGGGGTAAGCTATGTTTATTTTTATTTAAAATAAGGAAAATTTACATGCATAGTACACAATTCTTATGTATTTACTTATCCTATACGTCAACTTTCATCGTTACATACATAACACTTTAGTGTTTTAAACCTATGCATGAAAAGGTGTATTCCAGTCTTAAAAAGTGGTAATAGAGTTATTGTTTATGTGATTTTAAAGAATTGAGTGCTATTCGTGTAAATATGAAGTTTAGTTTTGAGATATGTAACCACATAAGATTTATGTGCTATCAGTGGGTCCAATCAACTGCCGGTCTAGTCCCGGGTTGATGCCAACAGCCTTTGCTTTCTTTAAGAGGCTATTTTCTTGGTTTGACCTGTGATTTGATCAGAATAGCCACAACGTGACCATTGCATCCAAGCCTGTCGTCTTCTTTTGCATATAATACGTGTTACTACCAATACAATTAAAACCATCATTTTAATGCCTTTCAGATGGATCAAAGAGAGCCTGATGATCCATCCCCATATCTCCTTGCCATATGGACTCCAGGCAAGAAAAAAAGAATGAAAAAACTGCTTTAAATTTAATAATTCTTAGTCTTATTAGTGTTAAATTTCAGGTGAAACTGCGCAGTCAATAGAGCCGCCACAATCATGCTGCGAAATCCATGAGACCGGACTACTCTGTGAGAGAGAGACATGCTTTGCTTGTAATAGTAGAAGAGAATTAGAGGCTCAAACTGTCAGAGGAACACTTTTGGTAACAACTCCTGTGTTTCTTTTTGATGTAAATTACATGAATTAATTTTTTAAGGGCGTGTTCTTGGATTGATCTTTTGTAAAAACAAGAAAATTTTGGCATCGGTGATTTTCTAAGTGTTTGTTAAAAACCATGAAATTTTACTAGCAAGAGGGGCTAAGAGAAATTTTGAAATGAAGTCATTTAATTGATGTTATTCATAACTTTGTAGGACCAAGCAATGACTTTGGAAATATCTGTTTATCTAGCAATTTTTTGCCAGTTATTGATCTGCGGATGATTCCGGGGTACAGGTGGTCAGAATTAAGTGATAATGAATTGAAAAATCTTTCCATTACGTACAATTCTCTTATTTGATTGATGAAATGCGCACCTCTTTATATTTCTATAACAGTCATATTAAAAAAAAAAAAAAATTTATTGAACCGGCAAAATATTCATTCATGCCTGCTTTTTGTAGTAAATTTACTGTTTATAGGTGATTTTTTTTTTGGTTTCTGCCATTTTTTCTTTGGAAGATTTACATACATACCACTAAATTATTATGTATTTACATATCTAACACAAAACTTCAATTTTTACATACATGCCACCTCTATGCATGTAAAGGAATATTTCACTTTTTAGAAGTTAAAACGGTAGCATTTTTTATATGATATGAAAAATTTGGGTGTTATAAATATAAAAAGCAAAGTTTAGGTGTTAGATATGTAAATACATAAGAATTGTGTGGTATGTAGGTTAATGCCCCTTTTCTTTTTTTGTTCCTTTCACATTAATTCTACAAACTATCTTATTAGTCTAGCTTATGCTCTCTTTTATACCATTTTGGCAACTTATTGAAAGTTTAATCTTGCATAGATACCATGTCGAACTGCCATGAGAGGAAGATTTCCACTTAATGGCACTTATTTTCAAACTAATGAGGTAAGCAATAATTGATGATGAGAACATCTTGAATTGTGACCATTTTCCACATTAATGGACCTCCTCCACTTTATTGTTCTGTATAAAAGGCTTTCCCAGCAGGTCTTTGCAGATCATGATTCTAGTCGCAACCCGATTCAAGTTCCTCGAAGCTGTCTATGGAATCTTCCACGAAGGACAGTATACTTCGGAACGTCAATAGCTGCAATATTTAGAGGTGGTGCAGTGATGGATCTTTCTATTTAGTTCAATTCTCATTCATGTTTATTGCTGACATGCAATTTTTTAAAATTAGGTTTCACTGCCACAGAACCCATTCAGTACTGCTTCTCAAAAGGTATTCAAACACATGCTAAAATGATTCTCTTCTTTCTCCCCTCTCTCAAATCCTCTCCCAAGGCTCTAATTTTTTTTCTTTTTAATTTTCTTGTTTCCTTAGGTTCAACCCAATCCTCCCTCTAGCTTTTTTTCCTTAATCTATTTCTCATGTTCTCTCCCTCTTTTTTGCTTTCCTACCTAAATCACATAACAAATTTTCTCTCTTACTTTTTTTTTCACTTCATTCTTTGTTTAATCTATCCCTGTCGCTCTCATTATCAAAATCTCTCGAAACTACTCTATTTTTTTTATTTTTCCACCGGTGATCAATTTAAATCTCACTAGGAGTTGTTTTGTTGAGAAACTTGATGAATTCTTTCATAGGCCACATGGCGCATGACATAATTTTGACTTTGAAAATTAGGTCTATCTCATTGTATAATTAGTCATCACATCTTTACATCATTACTTTCGTATTGGAATTCAAATTTAACTTCATTGAACTTCAATTCATTTAAAGTTACTTAATATTTAACTATTTCATTTAATATCTAACTCCACGTTGCATTAATATTGTTTATGAATTTTAATTTAAATTTGTTCAAACTTTCAATAACTTTCACTTAGCTGGCTTGTGAGCTGGCTCAAACTTATAGAATATACGAGCATGAGCTTGAGCATGGATTATAGCTCGCATATTCTATGAGCTTGAGTTTGAGCTCGAGTTAATTCGACTTGTTGGCTCGCAAACCAGCTCGATTAGAAAACCGAAGTCCCATAAATTTTTTTATGCTTTAGTCAATCCAATTTTAAATTGAGGCACTGGTTTCACAAACTTCTTTTCTGCACCAAATGCCGCTAAACACCATCGATGCTTTCGCCAACAAAGCTCTGACCGTGACGTCATCCATGCCGGTCTCATTAAATCTAATCCAACAAGCTCTTGCAATAACAACCGTATCTTGTCCAACAATCTCTAGTTGTGCCTGAGCTTGGGAATAAATGAACGAATCAAGCTCGAGCTTTGTTCTATAAGCTCAACTCAAGTTTAATCCAGACATTAGATAGAGGACTCGAGCTCTAATTAACCCTGACTCGAACTCAACTTGACTCATTTACAAGCTTCCTTCACCCACAGTGGGTTCTTGCGGAAAGGCCACTAACATAACTTCTATTTAGGTATTGCAGCATATTTTTATTTGATATTTGTCTTTTCCAGGCTTTGTTTGTGTGAGAGGCTTTGATAGGACAACAAGAGAACCAAAACCACTCTATGCTAGGCTTCATTTGCCCAGAAGCAAAGCACCTCCCAACAAGAAGCCATGGGTAAGACGAGAGGAATAAGCAGCCAACCAAACTAATCAGCTCCTTCAGATATATATCATAATCTTGCAATTGTTATTCTAATCTGACATTCATTGTGGCTTTTACATGAGAAATTGATTTATTTTCATTTTAAGCTTTATTTGGTAAAATTGTGTTGATGTGTTATGGCTTCTTATTTGGTGTGAGTGAAATAGATGTTGTTATATGATTGATATGGATCTAGTTTTTCTATACATTGTGATTATGCTATGGAAGAGTTATATATGCAATGCATTTTTTCATGGGGGAATTCAAGATTTCAGAGGAAGGTTTGGCAAATAATTTCACAAATTAGTAGCTCTTATATGAAAGAGAGGGTTATGAGATCTACATGCAAAGCACTCAATTCCTTTGTAATTACACCTAAACTTCAATTTTTACATTCTTGCATCTTATTTGTGCATGGAAATTGTATTTCACTTTTTAAAAGTTAAAATAAATGTATGCGAATGCTGCTAAATTTATGCGTCATTTACATGCATAACATAATTGTTTTGTATTTATATATCTCACACCTGAACTCTAATTTTTACAGACATCGTGCGCATATCTTACGTGTCACATTAAAAAAAGCATTATTATCATTTTTAAAAGTGAAACACACCTTTACATGTATAGGTTTAAATAGGTTTAAAGCACCAAAATAGCATGTATTATGAAAATTTTATAATGAGATATGTAAATATATAATAATTGTGTGCTATGTGTAAATTTCCCTGAATTTATTTGTATATAATAATTGTGTGTGCTATGTGTAAATTTCCCTGAATTTATTTGTGAGAAAGTTAATATAAAAATAATAAATTAATTACTTACAAAAAGATAAGTGGCTCATTGATTAGAGTTGAAGTTTATTTGTCTAAGATCTAATTACATATTTTGAGTTTTTTTGGTCAACATTTTAAAAAAAAATTATTTTCTATTTGTATTTGATAGGACTTCAATAAATTTTCATCATTTGGCATGAATCTTGAGATATTTGACAAAGATCTCGAGGCACTTTTTGGGCAAGAAATATTCAATCGTAAATTTAAAATTATTTAGAATTATTATTTCAGTAAATTTACAGTCAAACATTCGTTGTGGGGTCTTCATCAATCATAAAGGCATGAATTATATTTTTACTCGGAAAAAAATTGAGCTTGTGACAGAGGCGATGACTTGAATTAATGAAGGAATATGATTATTCATTACCATCCTAGAAAAGTGAATGTGGTAGATGGATTAAGCTAAAAAATCCACAATGAACATATCTTGGATGATCACTCGGGATAATGATTTAGCACCATAGATGGAACAACTCTAGCTTGAGATGGTACCAAAAGGAGTTAATCCCTTGACATATCAATTTTTAGTTTAGCTGACACTTGTAAATGGTATTTTTGTAGCTCGGTTGAGGGATACAATCTTGCTACTACTTGGAGAACAAGCTTAGAATGGATTGAAGCTTAAGTTCAATATCAATCAAAATGATACTTTGAGATTTTAGCATTGAGTGTGTTCAAATAAGAAAAAAACATAGGTATGAGATACAATGTGAAACAAATTCTACTCTATATTATGTTTATCTGGGAAATAATAAGATGCATCAAGATCCAAAGAGCTTTTTTTGGTCACCGAGTATGAAAAGCGACATAGTTGAGTTTGTAGCCAACTGTTTGACAAGTCCGATGGTTACGTCTAAACATCAGATCTGGTGGTCTATTATAACCCTTTCCCATTCCAGAATGAATATGTGAAGAGATTTCAATGGATTTTGTGGTTGTTTTAAAAGGTTCACCATTTACATTACAACTTCGAGTAAACTGAGTGAAAAATTCATTCAGAGGAAAGATTAAACTCAATGAACATATAGTCGCGGACATTGATACAACCCAACCAACTGATATATGAAACCATAGGAGGAGCAGAACATGATTGTTTCTTTAATAATAAATGGAAACACAATAAAATATATGGAGATTTACTACATACCACACAATTTCATGTATTCACCTATCTAACATCCAAATTTTAATCTTTATATGTAGGCTATGATGTTTGTACATAAAGATGAACGAGTGCATCTCAATCCTTAGAAGTTAAAAGCGATATGTTTGATGTGATATGAAAAAAAAATTTATATGTAGGACATGATGTTTCTAGTTTATCATCTCTTAGGCAACACTCTATCTTTACATATTTGCATATCTTAATTTAAGTCAAATTCCTTAAGAAATTGCTTACATGAAGCAAATTCTCTAATTAAATGGCATATTTCTACGATTAGATTTAGCCATATTTTTAAGTTAGGTTAAAAGTAAAAAGAAAATTGTTTCACTATAATTACGGCACATTAGCAATTAATCATTTTCTTAATCATATTTCTAATTAAATGCACATTAACAAGAAGGGAAAATTTGAATTCCTCCATTGAGGGAGGTAACCCCTGCCTTCCTCCGCAGTTCAGCTTTACTGAATCCTGAATCATGGCAGAGGAGGAATGTCATTTAAGAAACGAAGGATTAAAATGTATTTTTAATAGTTATTATGTTATTATGCATATGTTAATTTTATTAATTAAATTTCTTCAGAAATCTATTTTTAATTCTTATCAAATGTATATCAAAACTAAGATATTTTTTAATTGCTAGTTAAAGTTTGATTTGATTCATAAATTCTTACTTTTAATAATAATAAGTATTATTATTATAATAATAATACTGAAGTAAGAAGAAGAATGATTGTAATAATAATCCTAATAATGAACGTTAATTGGATTATACTTAAGTAATAACTGCATGATTAATCTTACTTTCTAATTGATGTAAGATTGATAGTCGAACCGTCAAATTCATAGAAATATTACGTTTGTTGCATCAATGTAAGTAACTGCAGATTATACTTAAGTAATAACTGTATGATTAATCTTACTTTCTAATTGATGTAAGATTAATAGTCGAACCGTCAAATTCATACAAATATTACGTTTGTTGCATCAATGTAAGTAACTGCTATTTAATATGGATAAATGTACTCTTCCTGGTTAGAGATGTTACATTTGTTAATTGTATTAGGTTCTTTATTAGTTGAAGGATTGTGATTCATACCTTTTAAATCTTGTTTACATAATTTTAGATGTTTCTATTTTTGCACATAATGAATTTAATGAATAATTAGCCTTGTTTTTATTCCTACTTAACCTCGAGTTTAGTTGTTCACATTTCATGGCTTCAATATTTAGTATTTCTTTAAATATTTGATGTGGTAAATCTCATTATTTTAGTTTTCATAATTGCTTATAAATATTGGTTGACACTTTGTAGTTATTTTCTTGTGTTGTGATTGCAATTCTTGAAATATAATTAATGTTATAATATTATTATGTCGTTATTAAACCCTTTTGTTATGACTAGCT